TGATTGACAAAGACAGTGCTTTATGGAATGGTCGCTATAGAAAAGGATTTAATGACTTTGCAATATCGTAACACGTTATGGTTAAATTTGTCGAAACCACCAAATATAAAAAAAATCAAGATTAAGCAGTTTTCCCGATATGAACCTGATAGCCTCTACACCGACCTTTAGACCGATTAAGACAGTACCAACAACAACAACAACAACAACAACAACAACAACAACAACAAAACGCTTAGCAAACGAAGATGTTTTGAAAGTTCAAATAGTTATTTCTTGACATCTGTTCGAAGCCAATTGCAAACGCCGGAAGGCGACCCGGCGACGTAGGCGTTGGTATGGATTACGTGTACGGTGTTTATCTCACCAATAATGGACTGATGCTCGGTAATAAACATGTTGACGTGGACAATGCGGATAAAATAATTATCGATGGCATACGATATTCGGGGACACTCGGCCTTTATGAACTGATATTCAAGAAAACTCCAGATAACGACATTTACACTGAGGCTGATGAACGCAAATACAGGGACATACTGCTGACAACGAGTGCGCATAAGCACAAGCACAATTCGTATGGTCAAACATTGGGCAACAGAGGATACAAGTATAACCATGTAATCAAGCCTTTATTGCAAGATAAAAAAATTGGAAAAGGCATACCGTGTTCCATGAGATTAACAAAAAATAACATTGATTACGTTCACTGGAACGATCCGATTCTTCCACGAAAACATGACAATTATAAAAAGTCGACAAGACTTATTCGACAAAAAGATGATTATTTTTCAAAATTACATTCAGAGCTTGAAAGATCAGCTGAATAAATTAGAGAGGGATATTACCGAATTCCGAAATCTAATGCAGATGCATCAATAGCTAGACGTTGAGACTATTTACCGACCGATCAACCGGTCAACCGACCGACCGACTGGTCAACAGACCGGTCAATCGACCGATTAACCGACCGATCAACCGACCGACCCTTGCGTTGAGCACCGATTTGATGTTTGATAAGACGTGTACGTTAAGTCTTTGCGTCAGTGTCGAGTCATACATGGCTGCGAAGAAAACTCCCAGTATCGAGAAACGGTGTCTTGTGGAAGAATTGCATGCTCCGGCCAGAAGAAATTTTCCCCGAAGACGCGTCATAGGTACATGGGTACGACGACTTGTGGCAAGCAGACGTGGTCGAGATGCGACTTTACACGCGGTATAACAGAGGTTTCCATTGCATACTCACTGTTATCGATATGCTGAGTACATATGCATGGGCCATACCCCTCAAAACCAAGAGTGGAAATGAAGTTTCCACAGCGATCGGAAAGATAATCCGAAACAGTGGAAGGTATCCGAAAAATTTGCAGACCGACAAAGGAAAGGAATTTTATAACGCAAATGTGCGAAAACTTTTGTCAAAATACTACATAAATCATTATTAAACGTATTCAGTGATGAAAGCGTCAGTTGTCGAGCGGTTCAATCGTATGCTCAAAAACGACATGTGGAAACTGTTTACGCTTAATGGAAATCATAAATGGATCGACTCGCTGCAGCAACTCGTATTAAATTACAACGCGCGTAAGCATCGAATTATCGGCATGCGACCATTTGACGCTACACTAACAAACGCCTCGAAGCTCTTAAGAACGGTATATAATCACGTAAAGATTGCCGCTCCCGCACGATTCAGAGTGGGAGATGCGGTACGTGGGAGCAAATTCAAAACAATTTTTGAAAAAGGTTACACACCTAATTGGAGCACTGAAATATTTACAATCGCCGAGGTTCAGAAAACTAATCCCGCAACGTATCTGCTGAAAGATGTTTATGGGAAACCAATTGGTGGAGGATTCTACGAACACGAGTTGCAACGTGTTGCCGACGCTGATGTATACTTTGTGGAAAAAGTGTTACGTCGGAAAGGGAATAAGGTGTACATGAAATGGTTAGGATTGAATAGTGCACACAATTCATGGATAAATAAAGATAATGTATTATAAAAAATTAATATTTTTTTTTTCAAATAAATATTCAGTTTTATACATATACTAGCATTATTAGTTACATTACAGTGTTTTTTTATTTACAACTAAATATATACATCTATTTAAATCGAGGTAAAAATAATTTACAAAATACATATACTGATATATCTAAAGCGGTATTTTATAATGACCCCACGGCAATGTATCCGTTGAGTCGGGTACGATATACCGCTTATCGTTGTACGGACTCAGAGCGATTTTTGATTCCGCCATTGTGTATGTTTTGTGTAATTTTTATCTTATACATGTCTGATTACGAATCATTTCAATTTCGTTTTGTAGACATTGCGTGTAGTCGTCGAAAGTTATCATCCTGGAAACAACGTTACTTTTTACACCTTTCGCCTTTTTCGTATCTTTAAAAATTCTTAATTTGCTTTTATCTAAGAAAGACGTTAATTTATCGAGACTGGTATTCAAGAATTTATATGAATCGATGTGGTTAGAAACTATTTCGATCGGCACGCGGCAATTGCTGGTCGATAATTGCTCGCGTATTAACACTTAAATTCGACAGGTATCGCTCTCGCTTCTTTGCTTCTCCCCTCTCTATCCTTTCTGAGAAACCACGAGGATCTCGCTTCGTGGAAAAGTACGAAAGTAAAGCGGTCCGGCCTAGTCAACTCCGGAATTTGAAAATGGTCTAGCCGGTCGCACACGAGTGGACGCGAGATCAGACATTCGTTGCTGCGCAGTTTTCGCTCGTTTCAAACTCATACAGTAAACCTAAATTCAAGAGCCACAGCGGTAATGACCGTATCTAGATACTGGTACTTGGCACTGGTGTCTTTTCTTCTTATTACTATTATACTAGTAGTCGTAGTTTCTATTTATATTATTCAAGTCTGGAGTTTGAGAAACGTTCTCCTTAAATTTTGTCTACATATATTCAAGGACAACTTCTGTACGTAATGAAGTCCACCATCAGACCCGTTGTATACTCGATTGAGAACATTGAGTATGTGCATCCAGAGTCTATCACGGATGCAAGAGAGACCTATCCTGCTCGCCTCTACCCGTGGCAGGGACGAATAAAAGCGGCTTAAGGGTCGCACAGATTATTCTGACGTGACGTGTTCCCACCATGGGCTGACGTCAGGCTACGTGGGCCTACGTCAGACATGAGAAATTGTCAGACGTTTGACGCCTGCTGCGTTGCTCATGAAACCACTATTTTGACGATCATTGCACGGCACCGTTAGTTGGTTTTCGACATACAACCATGAACCGTCTGCGTCTTTTTGACATACTCGATGAAGAGGACGAAGAAATTGCTGCAACAATATGTATTGGAGCTATTCGTTCCACTAGGGAATGGGTGCATCCCATCAACATAGATAGAAATATATGTGGTGAATTTGAAACCTTAATGCCACGATTAATACAAGACGAAGAGCGTTTCAAAAATTATTACCAAATGACGAAAGATGAATTTTATCATGTTCTTCGTTTAGTTGGCACAAAAGTCGAAAAAAAGTGTGCCCAATTCAGGGAAAGTATTTCGGCTGAAATACGGCTTGCAGTTTGTTTGAGGTAAATGCTAACACATTATTTAAAAAACTGATTTTAGAGCAATGTGAACCTGACATCCGACTTTTAAAAAATTAATTTTTTTTCGAAATCATTTGTACCGATTTTCAAGATTTATAAAGATTTTCATATTGAAAACAAGTACAAACGATTTTGAATCACGTTGAAGGAAAAATCATTAAAATTGACAGTGTTACCTATTCTGCGTATCTACAATTGCTTGTAACAAATTTTGAAAATCTCTATGTCGGGTGCTGGCCTTTTCTAAAAGTTTTTTTATTTAATAATTGAAAAAATTACAAACGAATCTATTGTTGGTACAGAGAAGTACATTCTCCGAAAAAAGTAATTTCTTAAAACTCAAGTCCCAGGTTTACATAGCTGGATTTCAGGGATAAATGAACTATCACAGTGGTTCTAAACATATTAGAAAAAGATGGTTTTTTTTGGTATTTATTGTTTTATTTCTCAATTTGTAAAAAATCTAAATATAAATATCAATGTTCCATTCTGCAGAGACGGGCAAAACCCTAGACTTCGAATAAATCTGAAGTTTCCCGATTTGTTCGTCTCATTTCCTTCTTTGGAAAATGTTCAAAACAGGAAACGGTAACAAACATATCGACGAATTTCAAATTTACTCGAAGCATAGGGTTTTATCCGTCTCTGCCGTTCAGACGTCGAACATCTCTGAATACTCCTGAGACGAGGAAAATTCATGCAGAGAGCATTGGTGACGTGCGCCCTCCAACGCTGCCTCCAAAACAATATTGCTCACTTCCTTTTGAACTCTAATTTGTTCTGCAGGGCAAAGTTTTTTTACATTTTTCGCTAAACTTAAAAACAATAGTTCAACTTCATCGTTCGTGTCCACCATGTTTCTTTTTGTTCTTTTTTCATCATCCACCAGTCTCTTCCGGAAACGTTGATTATTCTTGAAAATCCCAACGAGCTCCTGAATGGAAGAAGCCAGTCGTTTCTTCACGGGAAGAGACCTCACGGGCTTCGCGGTGAAAGTGGAATCATTGCCCGTGGTGATTTCTGTGTCGGCTGCTCCTGCTGCCTCAACCGAAACCACTTCCTCGCGTGGATATTCCTCTTCTTGACAAGACATAACACAAGTGTTAGGTCGCAATTCTCCTCATGCACGCTCTTCTCTAAGTTTCCTATGGTTTTTCGAGGTGCCAGACTTTGATTTAGAAATTCCATTTCTTTTTCGAATTTCCATTTTACGAATGTCTTCTATTCCGGGCTTGTATGTATGCATTCCGGAGCTTATTCCATATATTTTTGCAATCATCGCCTGAAACAAAGAAATTAGTTACTTTTTCATTTTAGTTTTCAGTTATCAATTAGTTAGTTATTGACAAAGATTAATAAATTATTATTTATACATTTATTTTACTATTCATAGATACTTGGCAACTGGGAGTTCGTACAAATCATTAGGATTTACTTTTCGAATGGGATATTCCATGATTGGGGAAATTATTAAAGAATGTTGTGATGCAATTTGGGAGACCTTGCAACCAATATACATGCCCAAATCCAACGAAGAGCAATGGATTAAAATCGCTAAAGCTTTTTCTGAAAAATGGAATTATCCAAATTGCGTTGGAGCCCTAGACGGAAAACATGTTCATCTTAAGTGTCCTGCTAAATCTGGGTCCCTTTTCTACAATTACAAAGGATCGTATTCGATAGTTTTATTAGCTTTAGTGGATGCAAATTATAAATTCATATTAGTGGATGTAGGAGCGCATGGCAAAAGCAGCGATGGTGGAACGTATGAAAGATCAGATATGTGTAAAAAATTTGTAAATAATGAATACGGTATTCCACAGTCCGAAAAATTACCACACGTAATTGTTGCGGATGAAGCTTTTCCGCTTAAACCGCATCTTATGAGACTTTACAGTAGAGCGGCTATTGTAAGCGACGAGGAGAAGATCTACAATTACCGCCAATCTAGAGCTCGGCGGACGGTAGAAAGCGCTTTTGGTATTTTAGCTGGACGATGGAGAGTATTTTTGAAACCCATTGCAACGAATCTACAAATTGCAGATAAGATAATTTTAGTCGCTATATGTCTCCATAATATGTTGAGGAATACTGCAAGCAGTATTTCTCCATTTGAAGAGAAAATTATAATTAATAATGAGGTAATTCAAGGTGTTGCTAACCTTGGACTCATACGACGAAATTATATAAGAGAAGCGGTCGCGATTAGAGACAGATTTAAAAAATATTTCGTATCTCCAAATGGTTCAGCCAGCTGTCCCTGGGAGTGGGATTCAATTAGGAAAGGAAGAATTTAAATGGTGTTCGGAAAGTAATCCCTACTCTGTAAAATAATTGTATATATATTTTCTATTTTTCTCTTGTACATATTGTTATTATTATTGAAACTGCGAAATATTCTCGAGACAACACACCAACATTTTATTGTTATCGGCAAATTTCGCGTACAAATGGTACTCACTAATTAAATATATGGAAAAATAAAAATGATTGTTTTCACTCACCTGACATGCCGAGCTTTTCTCCTATCTCGTCCCAAGCCTCCTTCCTCGAATGCTGATTCCGGTATTCCCGGTTCGTCGCATCATATAGCATAGGGTTAATAGATCATCACAGTGTGATCGCTCGAAAAATAACAGATTTTCGCGATTTTTTTTTATCGTCAGGATAAGCTAATCGGTCTGATTTTTTTTTTACAAATCAAGGCATTAATGAAGAATATAAAATGTTTTTTTTTAAGTGGATTCATTTATTGTTTAACATTATCTTAATGCATAGAAAAGTGCGGTGAAGAAAAAGGTCTCTTATGGTGGCCATGATTGCGGCCGCAAATTTGATCTGAAACAAAAATTTCAAACAGATTATTAATCTACAGAACAACCACTATCGTGCTATGGAGGCTTTTTTTTATAAAAATTGACAAAATGGCGGCGGGTTGAGCATAAAGTATCGAGTTTAGCCTATTTTTTCGACAGTTTTTCGTAAAAAAAATAGGAAGATTTCAGAAAAAAAGCTTCCATAGCACGATAAAGAATGACGTGAAGAATGTTCTGTCAAAATTTCAAATGGATAGCTCGAAAACTCTTCCTTTGAGAGTGGCCACAGTTTTGAAAAACACCATTACGAGAAAAACGCATTTAAAAGTTGGAGTGAGGAATTTTCAGATAAATCGTTTACTTACGATCAATCGGCGATGCCAGGCCCATACAATATTCCTTCTGCTTCCTCAAATTGTTCATTTTCTGCGGAACTTTCGGTTCGACGAGCTGTCCTGGCTTCTTTGCTGGCCAGAGAGCGATGTGCGATTTGCTCCGTCCTGTATTTAGCAGCGAAGTCCGCGGCTACCGGCTATGGTGACCCCCATTGTCTCCAGGATTTTCAATATTGGGTCATACCCTTCGTTGAACATGCAATCTGCACAATATGTCGCGATTTCCACAGTTTGTTTTTCAGAAAATATGTGTTTGGTAGCGAGTTGCCACACGCAATGATTAAAACTCTCATTGTTATTTTGCTTGTTTGCGCCCATACATCTCTCTAATAAATCTTCTGTGGTCAAGTCTTCGTAAATTGGCTTTAAAACCTCTTGGACATCGTCGTCGAGCGCTGGTGGATGATAATATTCGTCTAGACATCCATTAGCTTCAGCTTTCTGCCATTCGCACCACGAATCTCCCCCCGAAGGGCAACACTCATGCTGGGGATTTGCATCAATTGAGCTTTTGTGGTAAAACGTCGTCCATATTGCTTTCCTCATATTTTCAATTGAATCGGAGTTTCGACGAACTGCTAAGCCATAATATTCTGAAAGATTGGTTAATAGCTTTAGCGTCAATTGCGCTTTTTTTGGTTCGGTTTTAGCAGATTTTTCTGCTTTTGAAGTACTCGAACGAGTTCCTTTTTTCTCTTGTTTTTTCATTTGCTTGTTTGCAATTTGCTTTTTGGCTTTCCTTAATTGAATCAACCTTTTCCTTGCTTCGTTTCCCCTTTTATAAATACGTTTTGTCACATGTAAAACGCATTCTTTTTTTTTGACGGTGAGATCGTCACCATAAGGCTTGGCTTCTAATAACATTTTGAATGTTTTCGTATATTCGTCCCCTATATAAAATCCGTATTTTGCACTATGAAATTCATCAGATCTCTTAAAAATTTCGATCATGCCATCGACCTCCATTTTTCCGGCGCTGTCTTCGTGATTCACGTTGCATTCTGATTCGTGTGTCGCCTTCCATGCCTCAAACCCGACAGTACGCTCTTTTCCCTTCCAAAATAAGCAAGCCTTGCAAATGCTTGATTTAACCGCAACGTCCAGGACTTTATTCGTATATTTTCCTATAACAGACACGATAACCATGCGCGAAGAAAAACCGCGCTTCGACCAAGAACCATCACCAGACACCGTGAGTATATCTGCTCGATTTTCCGCTTCCAAATTTCTTTCCTTTTCTTCGGTGCCTGCTTTTCGGATAACGGCTTCGTAGATCGTTTTTACAGCAATGTGGAGCGTCTTCAGGATCCCATAATAGGTTGTGCTATTAAAAGTTGATGTCAGATCCATCAAAGCGGTAAAATTTCTGATACCATGTATGCCGATGCCGAGCATTCGCATGACAAAATAGAAACGACGGTTGATTTCGTACGCATTGTTTATCAGCGGACAAGAATTGATCTCTGCTGGACCCGAACACATACAATCAACACAAATTTTAAATCCCAATCCTCGAATTGATTTTTTATAAAATTTCACATCACTATTGCACTTTTTACACTTCAGTAATTGTTGCAGAGCGCCGAAAACTAAACAAAATTCTATCAAAACATAGTTGAATGTTTGATCGATTTTAACTTCAAACTCCGGACTCTTTTTTGCAATTTTCGCTGCTGAAGTACTTGCAAACGTTGTATCGCTTTTCGATAAAATGTCGATTTGTTCCCTTGAACCCTGCGGATCTTTTCCTATCGTATCGTAGATGTGTACTCCTCGAACCTTTTCTATCGACGCAGATTTTTTAGGCATTTTTTGTCAAAAACGAACTTGTTCCGTGGCAATCTCGCGTCGACCGATTGCCCTTACCGATAGTTCAACGCGGACTCGTATTACTGTGACGCGTTGTTTCCATAACTCTATGTTGACTTTTTGAAGTGTCTATGCGACCTGTATTTTCGAAGCGGACTGATTGTTCACCGTATGGTTTCGAAGTGACGACTCGCTGTCGTCTTGACTCCCACGATGGTGTCGGAGTCTCAGGTCACACGCTGATTGGTTTTCGTAAAATTGGAAAATTACCTATCACCGTGCCTCCGTGTTCATTGGGCCCACCCTTCCTAGCTCCCTTAGAGCGTCTTCGTTTAGGAAAGGTGGGAACCTCGATCGGTAGCGGGAGGACCCTGAATGTCCGGCGATGCCGGGGCCTTTCCTCCGGGCGAACATGTGGCGAACCGAAAGTACCGTTGGGTCCGAACGTGACCGCGCCAAAGTCACCCTTCGGAAAGACCGAGTTTATGATAGGAAAGCGGCTGTTGAGGACGAGGCAAATTAAAACCTTAACATTATGGGAGGGTCATCGACTAAACTAAATTACTAAAACGACTCGAAATGTCGACTTAAAAACGGCTATTTAACGGTCCCGTCATAAACAGACTTTCGAAATTCTCGACCAGATGGTCCGTGGAACGGAACAGAACTGACGAACTTCGCGTGTTTATTCGGCGAAACTATAGACCTGAAACCCCGCAGGTAAAAAGATGGTCAAAGTTTACTTTGGGACACCAAAAATGATGAACTTCTTTTGGTACCATCTAGTAATTTTTGGTTCGCAGATTACGAAAACGTAAGTTAAAATATTAGGAATCTAACGGTTAAAAAGTTACGTGCATAGTTTCGAATTGTGTACATTCAGTTCACAATCCTTCTACAAAATTTAAAAAGCATACGCTTTGAAAGTATACGCGTGCTGGGGGGCTGGACCCCTCGAAACTATAAACATCCCTCAGGTTAACCGTGTACACACCTGCGTGGCGCGCTCGCGCGGTCACGCTCCAATGCCTTTCGCTAAGAAACACTGTAGTGACCGAAATAATTCGAATTTCGATTTAAAAATTTGAGAGAATGTTTATAACCGTGTATATTATTGGATAATGCAAAAAAAATCGATTTTGTTTACATTTCACACTGAGATGATCCCTTAAGGGTCGCACAGATTATTCTGACGTGACGTGACGTGACGTGGGAACACGTCGCGTCAGGCACCGTGGACTGACGTCAGGCTACGGGGGCCACGTCAGTCATGAGAAATTGTCAGAAATAATGAATCCTTCGATAATTCTGAGTTTATAGCACTTCGGTTATTGAGGTCGAAACGGGTATTAGAGATTCTAAAAACCATTCAACGCTAAAGACTCGAAATACCTTAAATCTTAAAAATAACCTTTTCTCGTCCGCAGGCTAAACGTAACAACAAAATTTCAATGTTATGTTCCTTGCGACGGAATACCCTTTTTTTTTGCAATGTCGAAGAGGTATTGCGGTAGACGATGTTAACTACTTCAGACGTGTAGTTGTCCAGTTTGTCAACAACCAACCTATCCGTGCGAGATTTAATAACGTTTAACGTTTAATAAACATTATTTATTTATTAAACATTATTTTACAGTATAAATAAAGATCGTGCATAACAATAACAATACTAATAATTTTTCTTATTAAAATTCCTTAAGATTAGATTTAATAATTTTATTTATTATTTCAATATGTTTAATCATTTCAAGTACAAGAAAAATTGTTTTTGTATTTAATATGCTGCATTTTATATCTAATCAAATGGATGAAAAGCTGACAAGAATGCAGTTTAAATAGATATTATTTCACACGCGTCATAAGACGAGTGATATGAAAATCTAACATAGGGTTTGCATGGCGACGTTCACATTAATCTGACGTGACGTGACCTGACGCCATCTGACGCGACACGCGTGTTCCCACGTGTGCCCACGGGATAAGACGCGTGATTAAAATCTAACATAGGGTTTTGCATGGCGACGGTCACATTACTCTGACGTGACGTGGTGGGCTGATGCTATCTGACGAAATGTGCGTTCTGACGCGTCAGGAGCACATAAAAACTACTACATTTTTTGTGAGCGTTGGAATGCGTCAGAAGACTCGGGTGTTTTCTAGGAACCTGTTTTCCACTTTTAAGAGATAAACTAATTTAAAAAACAAAAGCTACACTAAAAAGTATAAAATAATTGTTAGTTAATTTATATAAATTTATATGAGCAGCTCTAGATATAATTTGCTTATAAAAGTATGAGAAAATGCAGTGAAAAGTATGAAATAATTTCTATTTAAACTGCATTCTTATAAGCTTTTCATGCGTTTGATTAGATATAAAATGCAGCATATTAAATACAAAAACATAATTTCTCTTGTACTTGAAATGATTAAACATATTGAAATATAAATAAAATTATTAAATCTAATCTTAAGGAATTTTAATAAGAAAAATTATTAGTATGTATATATATTTTACTCCCTTTGCGGGGTACACCTGCGGACCTCCGCTCCGCTCACAAAATACTTTAACATAAGGCATTTCCTAACTCTACTTCTCTACGCACGCGCGAGATAAAGAGAGAGAGAGTGAGTCTTCGCATTCCTCCATTCACTTTTCATTCATCCACGCATTCTCTCGGACCTCCGTTTCCGCTGCTCATCCTTCCTCTCAATTCTTCCACTCTCCTCATCCACACTTCCCCTTCCCCTTCATCGCCTAACACTTCCACTACCGCTTCTTGCCACCCCTTGTCCCTCCCCCAGTCTGTACACTCCTCCCATATATGTTCCCACGATTCTAGTCCCCCCCAACAAATTCGACATCTCCTTTTATTCTCCTCTTCCCAATACCTTCCCTCTTTCATTTTACTCCCTAAGCTGTACCCCGCCACCAATTGCCACCTCTTCTCCTCCCAATTCTTCTTTAAATATCCTGGTACACCCTCTCCCTTCACCATCTTATACCATCTATTGTATTTTGATTCCCTTATCTTCCCCCACCTCTCCATCCTTTGTATCTCCCTTTCCCTTCTTATCAACTTCTCCCCTCTCAGCTGCCCTAAATCCCTCCACTCCTCCACCTCCCCGATACTCCATCCCTTTCTTTCATAGAACCCTCCCCTCTCCTCTCCTCCTCCCACCCTTCTAACGCTCTCCCTCTCATCGCCCTTCCTCTTACCTCCATCCAACATTTCCTTGCTATGTATCCTCCTTTGCCTTCGCTTAGCTTCCTTTCAAATCCCCATGTCCTCATACCCGCTCTTCCTCCCAACCTTTCCCTCTCCAATTCTTCTCTTATCATGTAACCTGGCACCGTCCTTTCCACTCCCAAAACCCATCTTAGAAACCTCTCCTGTACCCTCTCTAGTTTCTCTCTCTCCTTCCAACCCCAAATCTCTACCCCGTATCCCATTACCGCCCATACTAACCTATCAAACAGCCATATTCTTTTACCCCAATCCTTCGCAAACTTCCTTCTTCCTAACCCCTAAACCTGCCTCATCGGCACCATCCCTTTCTTAGCCCTTTCCTTCACATGCTCCTCTTGCCTCCCATTCGCCATTACCACATATCCTAGGTATTTAAATTTTTTCACCTCTTCTACCTCTTCACCTTTCCACCTCCATATCATCCTTCCTCTCCTCCCGCCTCCACTTCTGCATCTCATCATTTTTGTTTTTCCCACATTGACCTCCAGCTTTTTCTCCCCTATATAGCTCCCCAACCTTGCCATCACCCCTTTCATCCCATCTTCGTCCTCTGCCATCACCGCAATATCGTCCGCATAGGCCAGCGTGTATACCTCCCCATCCACCTTTACGCCACCCCCCCCATCCTCCCTTCTTCAGCTCTTCCTCCATATCCGCCATCAATAGCGTAAACAGGATTGGACTCAGTAGGCAGCCCTGCCTTACCCCTTTTACCGTCCAAAAATTCTGCCCTTCTTTCTCCCCCACTCTCACCTTACTCCTCGTCTCCCTCAGAATTTCCACACATTTCCTCACCAGCCCTTCCCTTACCGCCCCCCCCCCCCCCCCCCCATCGACCCTGCTAATACTTCTCTGTCCACTGAATCAAGAAAAATTATTAGTATTATTATTGTTTTGCACGATCTTTATTTGTACTGTAAAAAAATGTTTAATATCGTTATTAAACGTTAAACGTTATTATATCTTACACGGATAGGTTGGTTGTTGACAAACTGGACAACTACACGTCTGAAGTAGTTAACATCGCCTACCGCGATACCTCTTTGACATTGCAAAAAAAAAAGAGTGTTCCGTCGCAAGGAATATAACATTGAAATTTTGTTGTTACGTTTGGCCTGCGGTCGAGAAAAGGTTATTTTTGAGATTTAAGGTATTTCGAGTCTTTAGCGTTGAATGGTTTTTAGAATCTCTAATACCCGTTTCGACCTCAATAACCGAAGTGTCATAGACACAGAATTATCGAAGGATTCATTATTTCTGACAACTTCTCATGTCTGACGTGGGCCCACGTAGCCTGACGTGTTCCCACGTCACGTCACGTCAAAATAATCTCTGCGACCCTTTAGAACTAGTCTCAGATTGTATCACAGACGCGTTCTCGCTGCATATCGGCGGTTCGTGTCACGGCACGGAATTTGCTCCACACTTCATACCGATCAAGGGACTTTGCTACTAAAGAAATTACTACATTAACCACTTCGGTGCGGCACTCATCGGCCGCCGGGCCGCGCCCACAGCCGACACTCGTAGTGCGCACGATACTTCGTACTGTGTACCGACGACGAATCCGTTTGAAGCACTGAAAGTATGTTTTTCATTACAAGCAGCTTTACTTGTAATGCATATCAGCAGAGCATATATTTTTATTACGATATTTCTAAATGTTCACAATCTTATTTTGATAAATGAAAAATTAGAAAATGTAATTCAAAATTATTGTTTCAAAAATTTTAAATTTTAAATTTCAACCAAATAAAAAATGGTCAGCTCTAAAAGTGGTCGAAACGACTTGGAATGCCCCATATATTTTAACTGGGCGCCACGATAATCTTCCTCAGGGCGCGAATATTGCTAAAAACGGCACTGCCACCACCACTATAAAAATTTCAGCGTCGGTGTTGGTAGCCGGTTGTACTGGTTCGCCTTCATCTCTGGCCGTCGACTAAAGTCGACGCTCGGCTGTGCGCGTTCGTCTGTGGCTGTCGACTATAGTCGACGCTCATACCGCAGTGTTTAAACACGATGAATTTCAATTTTATACAATTTCGCGACAGTCCATTTGAATCTTCGACACTTTTTATGAATGAGATGTATTTTTCTTTTGTTATCGGGAATACATTGACGGCACCCTCGAAGGCTGTAGCTATTTCTTCGATAATAAAATGCGAATCGTAACCGGACAAATTATGAAAAACTATGGAAATGCAAAAAGAGTTTTTATCATTTAGATTACAATTGGATTGCGCGGAACCTCTGTACCGTCTGGTTAGATGGCAATGATTGCGCACCCTCGTATCGTTTTCTCCAAACGGTTTTTCCCAAATTTGACAATGCGTCGCGTTGCGAAATGCCTCCTGCTGTTCGCTCGTTAAATCATCCATTTGTATGTTATTTGATAAAATTGATTTAACAAAATGTGCCAAATTCTTTAATTCTTCGACGAACCAGGAAACACAATTCGCATCGACGACATTGGTACACCGACGAGGACGAATCGTACGCGCATTGAACATAATATGCAATACTAAATACTTTATGATGCTGGTATGTGTATCTTGGCGCTTCCCGATCAGTATCCGTTTTCTCTAGAATGCACTCAAAGTTGGCATACACCACAAATGGAAGTCGCTCATTCCGTATGTAGTTGTTGAAGGTGAGCCACTTGCTGTCATCATCTGGTAATACGATTGCTCAATCATTCATCTTCTCGCAATCTACGGTGTGAGCTTCCAGCTTCTCACTCGAACTAAAGTAGTGCAAGCATCTGCAATAAAAAGACATAAATTTTGTTTCAAACATAACATATTTAAAAAAGAAAAAAAATTTATTATATACATACCTATCGCAAAAGTATTTTCGATGATTATTTTTATTCAATTGTGAACTCACAAGGCGAGATAAGTTTTTGATCCATGCGAAATGCCACATGCCGTTTGCTCCTTCTAAATACAGGAAATTGACATGTCTTTCCATCTTCTGTGTGGCGAGCCGTATCGGTAAAACCTTCTTTTCTTCAGTGGTGTAGACGTTGATGGAGATGTTGTTGACCTGTTCAAACTTTTTAATTTGGTTCAATGTCATTGGAAATTCGATATCCTAGATATTCAACACCGTTGAATAATGAGGATATTTCGATGCCCGACATGAGTCCCTTTCGGCTGGTTGGAGAGCAGCCACTACTGACCACGCGAAACATGCATTGTCGTTCGAGCATACGTTGATTACAGCTCTCTTTAGTTGTATTTCTCGCGGTAATTGTACGGTCCATCCAGTATGCAATGGCATATTCACGTTAACAATTAAATTGAGTATACGCGACAGCGCCCATCCGCTATCCCGTTCTTGAAATTCTTCCAGCGATGCTAGGGTAGGTTCGACGACGTGTTGCTCGTACCACTCTTCGAGATTGGTTGCGCCGAAGATTTCACAGTTTTTTGTGCTGATACGCTTCTTTGAGCGTTTATCACCCGCTACAAACTCTTCATTAAACGCGGTATTCACTTTTAGTGTCTTATATTTCACCAATGCACCCCACATATATGCTCGAGCACAACGTCTCTCGCATCCTGAAGAAAGTTACGTGGTTCGATGTAGTGCGAATTTAAGACAACACCGGTTAATACGTGGCTCTCGAACGCAGTGTCTATTTCACACCACAAGCGTCCAGTGCTTGAATGGCCGGCACCTTCGTACACAAAACGTCCGCGCAACGAATACTTTAGACCAGTGTTTCCCAACCAGTGTTTTTTAGGCCATGCCCCACCTTAACATTTCTAAAATGTTTATGCCCCCCATACATAATTTTTAACCTTTAAAAATTGTTTTGTTTCCTTAAAAAATATAAATGATAAGTTTTAGGAAGAAATCACTATGAAATTGTCATCAAAACATCGTAAGTAAAATTTCAAAACATATAATGAAAAACTGAAATTTAAAATAATTTTAATATTGATTTTTCTATATTCATTTAGTGCGATCCTTGCGCTTGATGCTTGCTGCACAGAGATTTTATATTAGGTTCCAATTTACTTAGCTTTAATATCAAGTCTCCACGTTGTGTTATATCAAGTCGATTTCTTTTTTTATCAGTAAATCATTTACAGCACTAAATCCACATTCAGCTAAATATGAAGATGAAAACGGTAGTAAAAGTTTTCTTGCACATTTGGTTGCATTTGGGTACTTAATTTCAGTTTCTTCACAAAGCCATGCCATCGCTCCTTTTATATTAAATAAAGTTTTTACTGATTCATCATTTTGCAATTCTGCGAATTCTTCTTGATACTGCATATTTGATATATCAGACAAATCCACTAATATTGGCTGCATCATCCATGTTGACAAATCAATTTGTTTTAAATCAGAAAATCTTTCTTTTTAAATCAGCGGATAGAATATTCAAATGATTGACAATAACAAGTACAGCGGTATCAGTTACTTCACATTTTTGGAGCCAATGAAACTGTTTAAAGTTTTTGTTGTTAATATATTTCTGATATAACTCTATATTGGTAATGAAACCAAATATCTTTGCTTTTGCATCGACAAGTCTTTTATTTGGTTCTTGAAGTTGCTTATTTAATATATTTAGTTTTATAAAGATATCGGCTAAATAATTTACAAATGCTTTACCATTGATTGTTAACAAATACTTCATTTCAGGTTTGTCGCTTAAAAAACCACTAAGAGTATCAAATAGTTGCATAAATCTTTTCAAGCAGTTTCTTGTCTTACTTCAGTATGAAGTATAAGTCTCACATGGTCTTCATTTTGTTCTTCACAAAATAATTTGAACAGACGCTCACATTTGGCACTAGCTTTAATAGCATTAACACACTTTATTATTGCATGTAGTACTTCATTTAGAACACTCGAGATATTTTTAGCTACCAAGTTTTCCTTATGAATAACACAATGTACAGTAATCATTTCTGGATTTGCATCTTTTATCAATTTTAAGCAGCCATTTTTCTTGCCCATCATATTAGGGGCGCCATCTGCAGTACAAGATGTTATATTTTTCATTGGTAAATCATTGACATCTAAGTAGTTTTTTAAACTTATTATATATATCTTTGGAGGTAGTGGTGTTTTCTAATCTTTTACAGAACAACATTGCTTCAGCAAAATGCCCTTCATCAATATATCTTACATAGGTTATCAATACTGCCTCACTGTCTCTCAAAGTTAATTCATCCATTTGTACTGAGAAATTTTTTGTTTTCAGCTTTTCAACAAGTTGTTTCTCAATATCTTTACTCATTTCGTCTATTCTTCTGCTAACAGTATTGTTACTGAGTGGCATAGCTTTTACACCTTTGTCATCTTTTTCCAGAACCGTTTTAAGAAATGCTGATATTGACGGTTTTATCAAATTCTCTCCTATAGTGTGATTTTTTCCAGTTTTAGCGATTAATAAAGAAATTTGATAACAAGGCTCAGAATGACGATTATTTGTTAAAGAACGAGCAGTAAATAGAGACTGCAATGTTGTTCTTTTTTCAAACTTTTCCTTTAAAGTATTAAAATAATTCAAATTTGAATTTATATGAGCACTATGTTTCGCTTTCAAATGCGCCTCAAGACGACCTCGTTTCATTGATTCGTTGGTCAAGCATTGCTGGCATAAAAGACCAAATGGCATCCGCTCATCGTGAATAGCAAGTATGAACCCAAATTTTAAATATTCCTCCGAATATTGACGAGTTTTTTTCTTGTTTGTTCCACTTATTTTATTATAGGCTAAAAAAAATCAATTAAAAAACAATGTAATAAAATATGTGTTAAAATTAATTCAATATGACAGAATAAACGTATGCTCAAAGAAACATATTTATTTAAATGTATATAATACATTACCGATATTTTTGTTTCACTTGACAAAAATTTTTGGAAAGTTAAATGCTTCTAAAATTAAAATAAATATAAATAAAATCAAATACTTATCAATTATATCTATACAATATATATTTGTTAAATCAACGATTAATTGACGGACACTTATTTCAAATTAACACCAACTGAATGATGTGAAACACTACAGAAGTTGAGTTGGGCCAATTAGGTGCGAACAACGCCGTTGTTTAGCGAGTTTTAAAACGTCCGGGGATCTCCGCGACAGGCGGCACACTCCGCGGTGAATCTCCGACGAACAGGGGCGGACTGGTGATTTTACCTGAACCCAGCCCTATATGGGGGGGTAAATTTTCACTTGTTTACGTATCTCATTATCATACACAAAACGTGCATTTCAATAATGCACAAAATATTTTTTTTTGAATTAAAAAAAATTTGTCTACCCAGGCCGGCCCGTAACTCGACCGGCCCACCGGTGATTGCACCGATAGGCTTATATGGTTAGTCCGCCCCTGCCGACGAAGTTTACTTGACGACTCTAATTACCCAGTTGATATTTTGATAACGTCAAACGAAATTATACCTAATAATTATTTACAGCATTTTTTTAAGAATTTGCCTTTTTTGTTAAATTTGTCACCGATATCTAGCATTGCATTTAAATAATCCAAAGCGAAAGGGTTAAAGTCGTGTCGAGTCCATTTTTAAATTGCCTCCCTTAACTATCAAATTACCCCCCCCCCCCCCCCCCGTGGGGCGTGGGCCCCAGGTTGGGAAACACTGCTTTAGATTATCAAGACACGCGATACGAGCGATCAACGATTGTTGAATGCCGATCGATAATCGAGGACGTTTTGCTTGACTATGTTCTTCCAGCGACTTGAGGCACTCGTTGCATCGTTCTTCCCACGCGAGGTAATCTTCTTGCGAAGTCAATCGATCGGCCTGATACCACAATTGACGTTCCATTTCCAAGAGTTCTTTCATGGTTGCACTCACTTCTTCGCTGGGAGCCACTACAGAACGGTTTGAATGCAGTTCAGTCTGCAGCACAATTTTTATAGTCTAGGCCACTTGATTCTGTCACGTGATTTTGTCACATGATATGCCTCTGCAGACTTTAGCAGACTTGGCCAGACTAGATTCTGGTAAAACGAACGAAATCCCAACTCCAAAGCTGTACTGGTAGACGTTCGTGTCAGAATATTGAAGACTTTTTTGACTACTATGTCGCCCTCTTTGAAATCGTTCCAAAGGCGATAAGGCTTGTACACGTATGCCAATATGTCGCAAGGTTCCTCATCCTCCTGTAACCATGATGGCGTTCCTGATTCGGTTGTTGACAGCGACGGTGATTTTGGATGGTCTTCGATTAAGCAACACACTGTCCAGTTTATGTTTTTCCGAAAAACGTTGCTCATCAGGTGATCAATGGTTTGCACTTCTTTGGAAAAATGTTTAATATTGACAGTACGGGTTTCTATACTGTGCTACAAATCTCTTCATATTTTCTACGTTGCCGCCCCCCCCCCCCCCCCCAGTATAGACAGAATATGAATCCTCAATCGGTATATTTCCTTCGCACGTGCCATTGTATTGATTTACTCCTAGTTCTCAAGCGTATTATGAGATTATTGTCATTAAGAATTTATATTACGTGAAAAAAAATTAGATCGCGCGCTACGCAAAGGTGTGTACGCTAAAAATAAATCCCCATAAAAAAGTACAAGAAAGTAGAAAAAGATGTGAAATCAAAATGAGCTGCCAGCACATGAAAGTCCTTTACAATATAGTGCAAAGGCGACACTGTGTAACGCAATGTAAAATTCGGTGGTTTCCAACTATGCGCAGCTAAAATGCTGTGTTCAACAGTGCGAACGTTCAGATCCTAATGACAATTCATGTAAAGTGACTGCTCCACACTTTAGCGGTGACATGAAGAAGCTAAATAGCGTATCATCCACAAGCTGAGGCTGTTTAAAAATTTGCCTTGATGTCCGCGGCCTGGAAGTCAAACGCTTGGCATGGCCAGGCAAGGTCGTGTCGATGATGTAACGTGCGGCCCTACAGAACGGTGCCCCACGTCATCAATTACCAAACCTTTAGGAATGCGCATGAACCGAGTCGCGTGAACCGCGACTCAACAAACGGGCGTCAGCGATATTACGCTGTTACGCATAAGTCACCTGTCGAATCTAGAACTTGCTCCAGATTCGGGAAATATGGTAATTAAGATTCCGAAATTACGAATTGCGCCAGGCAAGGATCTGGGGCTATATAAACCCGTGGTCACGACCACGGAGAGCTCTTTGTGTATTATTATTTTGGCAGTCAATACTCTGTAGTCGCGGACGGGTTAATCTCTCGCGTTAGTCTCATTTAGATATCGTGTATCGTATCTCCAGCTGAGTAAAGAGTTCGCGTAAGTGAGAACATACGCACTAAAGATAGAGTCACCGCGGAGTTACCTACGAAAGTCCGACGTTTATTATTCGCCAATTATTAGAGTCCCGTGTCGCGAGTGTACAACCAGACCAGATCCTCGACACAACCGTGCCCGGGACAACCTGACAACGCCGCCGATAGCATAAGATCAACGATTGGTATTGTTAAAACCATCTTCAATTGTATAATTTATATTCTTGTTTGTATGTAATCCCAAACTCAGTTTTGTTTCGTAATTATATTTATTAATACTTAAACTTAGTGACAATCATTATAGAATCCCAGAATTCCTTCTTTTCCAATTAAATACAGATAAGGTGAGCTTTAGCTCTTTAACCGAAGACAAGAATCCCTAAAAAAAGTCCCAAACTAATTGGGACGTAACAATGAATAAGAATTATTTTAAAATGTAAAATAATGAAAATGTACTCATATTGTCAGAGTTTTAAATTGACAAATTATCTGAAAACTTGTGAGAGGAACGGTATCGGTGACGATGAATTACTTTAGAAATAATTTAAAACGTAATGCAATGGAAATGTACTCATATCGTAAGAGTTTTAAATTGACAAATTATGTAAAAGCCTGCGAGAGAGAAAGTATGGGTCTTGATGATCTGAGAATGCCTTAGCTGGCCACGCCAAGCATTTGACTTCCAGGCCGCGGACATCAAGGCAAATTTTTAAACAGCCTCAGTTTGTGGGTGATAGGCTATTTAACTTCTTCATGTCACCGCTAAAGTGTGGAGCAATGAACGTCCGCACTGTTGAACACAGCCTTTTAGCTGCACATAGTTGGAAATCACCGAATATACATTGTGTTACATAGTGTCGCCTTTGCACTTTATTGGGAAGGACTTTCATGTACTTGCTGGTCATTTTGATTTCACATCTTTTTCTACTTTCTTGTAGTTTTTTATGGAGATCTTTTATTTTTCTATGATAACTCCTTGAGTCCTCCACTTTTTCAAGTACTTGGCGTAATTTTTTTACTTTTTTGAAGTTTTTTGTGGGGATCTCACTTCTTTTTACAAAGATAATTTGTATAGTGAATGACTTCAAATAATAGAAAATGGGAGATCAGTTTGAATCCTTTAAGGTTTCAAAAGTACGCGGAACGCATTGGAGTAAGTCTAATTGCAAGCAATTTATTAAAAAGAAAAATGTAATCACTTTATCAATGACATTTAAATGGAACAAGACTTCCTGTCATGTGTCATGGCTACTTTTGAGAAATTAAAGGATTAAGTCTGACCTCTCTTTTTCTATATTATTGTAATACAATAAATTATGTGTTACAAATAGTGAATCTCTGTTCCTTTTCTCATTTTCTCA